AAGCGAAATCTCCCCCCTCGCCCAGGACCATTTCACAGACAAAAATGAACCGGTATTGATTGTAATCCCTGGATAAATACAGAGCACATGCAGCTGCAGAAATCCCATTATTCAGACAGAATTAACTGTGAAACAAGAGCACCTGCTTAAGGTCCACACATCACCAATCAGTGCGTTCACTGAGCAGATTAGAGGAGGATATGTTATCTGAACTCATCATACATTACGTCGCAATTAAACTGAAAGTGGAATTCCCAGTCCACACCTTCAGCCCGACAGATTGTAATTGATTTCTGGTGAAACCTGATCATCAGGGTTGTACTTTATGCGACAGTAACTTGGCTCTTATTAAATTCCGTAAATTCCAGAGGAGCTGGTAGGACAGAGAGCCGGTGTCAGGTATAAAAACTGTCACGTCGTTTTTCAAAAACTAGTCTTTTGAAACAGCAGCAGTAATACTGTCTTGTCTGTGGTAGCTGACACACACGTTATCATTCTAGGACGTTGCAGTCTGGTTATGTTTTACTTCCTTTAAAGTGTGATATTTTTCTACAAACAAACACTCAGTCATAAAGCGCCACGTGATGCGTGAATCCTTTCCGTGTGAATTCCCCATTAAAAGCGCTGACCTGTTTTCCATGCCACCTCAACCCCAAATGTGCTGGAGCATGTGTCATACCCGACATTACAGTATCTGTCAGAATATTATGTAGCTGCACGCATGCTTCTGCTGCATGCAGTGGCTTGTCACAAATTCATAACTTACAGACATACAAGTTAAATTAATTACGAGTTGCAAATGTTATGTAGTTAAGTGAGATCAATCATCCACTAATCAGTTTGTGAAGTGCGATTTTATAGGAGAATCTCAAATGAAACATAATCAATTCCCTGTCAAAATAAAAGCAGAGAAAGGAAATAAGTTATGCTGAGTTAATGAGGTTGAAAGTGGCATTGTGTGGGTGTTATGTCATCTGATTGCACTTATGAGGCGTATTAGTATAAAGTGGAACAGAATTAAAGTTCAACACAGTACATATAAGAAAGTGTCAGACACTGTTCCTCTGCCATGAGGCCAGTTAACACTCTGCTGCTCTCACTACCTCTGAACATTGAATATCGATCCTTCTTCTGTTTATAAGATTGGGGAAACCTGCAGTCAGCTGAGACTGAAGAAATCACTTGGATGAGTGACGAAACGTTTCTCCCACAAAAACGCTACGTCCAGATGAACAGAATCAACTTTTGGAGATCGATCCTTCTGTCACTCTTTACATTATCATTTTTAAATCTTTTTTGCCTCCCGCTTTGTCTTTAGCAGTACACTTCAGGCAGTGCTGCCTGAAGTGTACTGCTAAATTGAATTGAAATAAGCTGGCAGACAAATAATGACTCAATGGGTACAGAGAGGAAGATACTGCACAACGTATACAGTGGGGCAAAAAAGTATTTAGTCAGCCACCGATTGTGCAAGTTCCCCCACCTAAAATGATGACAGAGGTCAGTAGTTTGCACCAGAGGTACACTTCAACTGTGAGAGAGAGAATGTGAAAAAAAAATCCATGAATCCACATGGTAGGATTTGTAAAGAATTTATTCGTAAATCAGGGTGGAAAATAA